GTCGGCGTAGCTGAACCTCATACCTGGATTCCCGCTTCGCATAGGCTCTGCCATGTAAAGAAGAAATAAGAGTGGGGATATCGGTAGGCCCTGGGGAACTCCACAGCTTAGCTGTCGCCGAGCGGAGACTCCTCCAGAGTAACGCACTTGGACTATTCGTTGTGCTAGAAACGAGGTCGTCCACTTGAGTATCGAGTCTGGCCAACCTTGCTCCTGCATCCTTTTCACCAGACGGTTATGGAGAACTGCGTCGAAAGCACCTTGAGTGTCCAGGGTGACAAATATAGCCGTCCATTTTTGGGAGCTTGCCTCTTCAATGTCGTGTACCACACAGGAGACGAGGTCCATTGCTGAGCGCCTCGGGAGCGCGCCAAATTGCTGTTGTCCCGTTACATCAAAAATGACGGCGAGGTGCGCCATACGCTTAGCCAAGAGTCTTTCTAGACCTTTACCTAGGCAAGAAAGAAGAGCGATGGGCCTCCATCCCTTGACTGTTGTTGGGTCTCGATTAGGCTTCGGAACAAGAACGACCTCAGCCAGCTTGAAGCAGAATGGATGAGTGCCGATCATCACGCAGGCCCGGAATAGTTGAGCGACGTACGATCCTATAGTGTTCCAACAAGCTGCTAGAAGATCAGTTGATATTCCATCTGCTCCTGGAGCCGTGTTACCACTGCCAATTGTGCAGTACCTGACTTCTTCCTCGGTGATATCGTCATTCCACGGGATTCGGTTGCTGCTTTTCGCTGTGCATGGTGGCAGGTCGTCTGATGCCTAATGTCGGGCAAGAAGCGCATCGCGGAGTACTGTCGCTCGCTCTAATGGGTCCGAGATAAGGGTTCCATTGTGATTGAGTGGCGGTGGAATGCTAGCCTGTTGTGGATTGGCCATTCTCAGCAGCTTGAACACATCGCTCGGCGACTTCATGGCTTCGACCTGTTGCGTCTAGTATTCTTTTTTCGCAGCTCGTAGAACAGATCGAAGTTTTTTTTCGCGCAGACGCCCCGCTGGAGAGAGGGTAAGGTCGCTTGATATTCGGCGCGTGCTACCCTGCATGCCGGGACCCACCAAGGTGCTGAATTTCCGCTTCTTGCTCTGGCTCTGGTTCCGGTTCCAGTGGCGTTAATAGCGGCATTAATCTGGAAACAGAGTTCTTGGGCGTAAACTTCAACTTTTTCGACTAAGTCTAAGGCTGGAGGCGGCTTGATCCATCTGGCAGTGAAGTCAGCAAATTTGGGAAGATTTTTCTTTGTCACTCGGAGCTTGGAGATCCCAGGCTTCATTCTTGCAGCTCGAATCGGGATTTGTCCCCGGAAATGAAGATGATCGCTGGTTACGCATTCATTCCGATCCACCCATGCTCGAGCGCCATTGATGTTGGTCCAGGCTAGGTCCAAGGTGTTACCAGCCTTATGCGTGGGCTCCCCAATAATGAGACAGGATAGATCGTGTTGTTGCGCCCATCTGTCAATTTCCTCTCCTTGTCCGTAGGTCCGAGTGGTGCTCGGTTGCCAGGCCCAGTATACTGAGTTGAAATCTCCTGCTGCAACAGAGTTTGGCGGTGGATTCCAGTTAATGAGGGGCTCCACAGCCTGTAGGTTTTTGTGAGCCTTATAGTCGTTGAGGAACGTGATTCCATTGACCACGACCCAGCCATAATCCGCCGTAGGCTTGGCACAGGGAAAGACCTGTTCTGCAATTATTTCACTGCCATTCTTCCGAGTGTAAGTCACCGCCCTCGGCCTAGACTGATCCTCATCATGGGGAATATGACAATCATATCCCGGATGAGTTTTCGTTGATTTGCTCTGTTTTTTCCACAGAGGTTCCTGTACAAGCAATACATCGACTCCCAGCTCAAAAGCTCGGGCGAGCGCGATGTCCTGTGTCGGGCCTCCCCTTCCTACATTTATCGACATGAAATTTAAGGTAGGAGGGAGACGGAAAGGGGCCCGTGGGGCGCCCTTTACAAATTTTCTTCGCGATTTATCTCCTCTGTAACCAAGGTTACAGATGGTGATACATCGGTCATCAGCACTTCGCAGCTGTTGCTGGAATTGAAGCTCGTCTGAGCAATTTTGGCCTTTTCTGACGCTGCTGAAATTGCGGTTTCTGCGCGTGTAACGGCTGCTTTTGCTCTGACAACCGCTGCAAATTCCCGTTGACTCGCCTGCCTGATCGTCTCAAGGTTCTCTTTGGATGCCGATCCAGACTTTGTAGGACGAGCTAGGCAGTCGCGACTGTCTGATCGGTGGGAGCCCCCACAGTTGCGACACTTTGTATGTGCCTTACACTCTGCGGAGGAGTGCATTGTTGACGTGCAGTTCCAGCAGGCTGGGGCACGTGAGCATCCTCGAGTGCCGTGGAATTGCAGACATCGTTTGCACTGGCTTATTGCCTGTTTAGGCTGGTGGCGAACTGCAATTCCAGAGTCGTCAAAAAGTCGGAAGCCCGGCCGAGGGGCAGACGCTCTCTCGAAGTGAGCTATCCAAGTTTGGTAGGGAGCTCCTACTCGCCCCTTTCCTAGTGGACGGACGCGTACCGGAACCGCTTTGGTGGTTCGAGTAATTTCTTCTGCCACCATCTCCTCAGTGACTGTGACCTTGCCCATAAGCGTGTATAGGGCCACTGGAACCGTTGCGATTCTAAGGGCAGCCAGATCCGAGGCTATCTCCAATTTAGCTTCAACCCTGCTGAATGATTCAGCAGCGTTTAAGAGAAGCTGGCGTGCTTCTTCGTTTTTGGCTTTCATTGCAAAGCCGGTGGGAACACGATACACATGTTCAATATTAGAGGATGAAACCTCCACCAATTTGGTCACGGCATCTCTCACGCCAGCTGGCGAAGAGCGCGCCATGCATGCTCCTCTCCGAGGCGAAGAAACAGACGAACATCTTTTGGCTTTGCAGTCACAGGTCTAGCTTATTTCTTGACCTGTACTGCTGGGTTTGGGGCGACTCGAACAGTCTTCGCTGGAGCGATTGACATTTGGGGAGAGCCCCGGGCGACTGTTGCCCAGGTCGATTTGGCCTGGGTGACTTGGCGTTGTGGCTCCTGACTGTTCATCGGAGTTCTTTCTTTGGCCTTGGTTATAGGACAGCTCATGTTTTCCTGGCAGCTTGGGCGCTGTGGAAGGATTGGGGGGGCCGCACTGGGTCCCGACTTCATGAATTGAGCAATGGCTGCTCGAAGATATGTTTTCATCGAGTCGATGAACGGATCGCTCGACTCTTCTGAGTATAGGGAGACCGCGGTCTCGATAGCATTGATCGCAGCAGTGCAGATCATTATATTTTTTGCTGCTTGAGCTGCCCTGCGCTCTTCAGCTTCAATCATGGCTTGTAGTTCCAGGGGGCAGCCATTGATTTTTTGTTTCCTGCTTTCGCTGCAGGAAGGTTGTTGTTTTTCAGTCGCCACTGATGAGGGTTTGCTGGCGATCTGAGCAGGTGTGGCTTGATTAGCCTTATTCATCTCTGGGATTGCTGCCTTCTTGACAGCAGGAGCAGCAATTTTCTTTGATGTTGAAATGACGGAGGTCACAGGGACCACATCATCATTTTTCTGAGCGACATTCCATCTGGATTTGTCGAGACCCTCGATTATGTATTGGTCGATGACCATATCGCCCATTTCCACGTCTGGGTTTGTTGAGTCTGAGTCTTCCTGGAAGACTCTCAATCTTTCGGTCATCTCTGACTCCATCTTGTCTTGATCTATCGTATCGATCGATATATTTCTTGCATCTAGGCGCTGTTTCAGCCTGATTATAATTTTCGCCATGGCTTTGTGCTGGCGCGCGGGGCGAGTGATTTTCGGAGGACCCGTCGCCATTTCGGAGACTCACGGTATTGCGACTATGATAGAGATGAAATTAGCTTATGGAACTGTGAATTGAAGGGTTGAGGGGATGGGTAGGTGAATTTTTCATCGATTTCAAAAAATTGGTTGTGTTGTGAGCTAGCACGACGTTAAATAATAATAATAATGAGATCTAATTCTACGTCAACGCCTTAACTTGCGCCAATTTCTTCCGTAATGAGCAAGTCTATTTCCTAATACCCACGTTCTACAAAGCGAATATGGAGTATCCATTTTCTGAAGTATCAGTGGCACTATCCGAAATTTTTGTCTTGGAGACCATAATCTAAAGCCTAAACACCACGAAAAATGTCCGTTCCAGCATCTCATTATCGATCTCCTATCTATCTCATGTATTGTCGCAACGGTCTGTGCCGCCTAATGTTTGAGAGCCCCAAGAGATCAGATACCTCATAAGCCGAGATCCAAGCTTTGTACATTGTGATTTTATTGCTTCATTCTGATGTGCTTAGCATTGTAATTTTATGGTAGGGGATAGTCGGTGATTGATGAAGCAAGCTCCCACCTGCAACTGGTGCAGCTTCTTGATCAATTGCTGAGACATCGCGGTATGTGATAATACATAGTTGGAGAAAATACGTGGGAATGATAGGACAAATGATGAGAGTTAAGCAAATGTAGACATTTTTGTATTCGCTTTCGATTTTGATCTGGATGCAATCCTCAAGGCTATCCTAGGTGTGCAGAGTAAACTGAGTGTTCACACTGGCGGCATTGAAAGTTGAAAAATTCGGGTTTGCCTGCCAAAAAAGTAGATGATAAATCATTTCGGGTTGAATTGAGAACAAGCAAATGTATGATGATTTCGCAAGCTGGTAATTAAAGGATTAAATCTTTTGCGTTTTTTCCGACAAATTTCCTCAAAAATACTCCGGCATGAGAAAGTGGACAGAACTTTTAGTGTGATCCGACTTTAAGATGACATAAATATTTGTCTTCCTTGTGAAGAAAATGTAAGATTATGATTATTAACTTATTTACTTAGTGAAATCAGGTGTCAAGCGAGAAAAAAAGTACCGGGAATAGTTTATAGCTTCTAGTATCAGCTTCATGTGAGTCGTCCTACTCACACTGAATAGTGTTCATCTCAAAACTAACTGATCAGGATTTTACCGATAATCTTAATCCTCTTCATCAGTGAACTTTATGTGTTTGCCTTGACTTCCAGTAGCTTCCTTCTTGTCCGTGAGATCCCACCCATTCAAATACCCAACTCCAGCAGTGAGATAAGTTGCAAACCCTAACCACGCACAATATGGTACTAAGCACCAACTAGCAACAGGCTCAACTCGGCTCCATACATACGTTAGGTACCCGACAGTCCCAGTCAAGGCGATAATGTCAACCAAAGATTCGACTGGCCGCTTTAACCGGAAAAACAGCGGCATCCATATTAAATTAAGCCCGAGCTGGATGGTATATAAAGTTGCGCCTTGTTTCGTCAGAAGATACTGCTCCATGCTAGCTTGCGGTGACATTCCTGTTCGGTATACCCTGTGCGCTGCATACCCCATTAATCCATAAAGTATAGTCCAGACCGGACCAAAAATATATGGAGGTGGTCGATATGGTGGCTGTTTTAATGCCATATAGGTAGCTTGGGCTCTTGTAGGCCGCATAGAGTATCCCAGACCTGCTCCAGCGATCACCGGGAGGAGTATTGATGATGCGGGATTCGCAAAAACTGCCGCTGGAAGCGTTATAGAAGGGATAAAGGTAGTCATTTGGAAAAATTAAAGGATGTTTATACTACATGACCTATTAGTATTAATTTCGGGGTTGTCAGTCGGAGCTAAATATCTCAGCAACTGGCATCTTTATCCTTGGTGATGAAGGACCATTTGACTGGAGAATCACAAAATCTCCGGTTCTAATTCTTACCTGGAACGTGTAAGTATTGTTTGTTGTAGATTCTTACGGTATAAGTAAATCCAGTGACTTGTTTATCTAAATAGCAATTGCAATTCCTTGTATTTCGTCTAGCTACCGGTCGCAGAGACCTCGGTCTAACTGTTATTCCGCGGTGTGCATGTATGAATTTAGTTTTAGATCCACATATTCAGTCTAGTTTACTCGATTTACCCTGTTACCCTTACCTCTGTATGAATCGGATCACACTGGTTCTTAATATCCCCATCACCTTCTTCGCTATTGGTGACCAGAACAATTCTGCTCAGAGAGAATTCCACAGTCATTCTTGTTCGTCAAACCCTTTCAAATTTTGCCACAACCTCTCATCTTTACCCCTTCCTTACACCTCCCAAGATTGCAAATCCTCCAGATCTTTAAGTTCAGATAGTTGTCGTTCTTCAGCCATCTTTAATAGGCGCTTATTCCCTATATTCCTTCATACTCTATGTGCGCATATCTCTGCAGTTACATTTATTTTTATTATATTTTAAAGCTCTCCTCTGACAATCAATAATGTCGCCAAACAGCTGTAGTTCCAATCTCGAACTCTCCTTCCGACAAATATCTGGCGCCCTCGTCTATCCCCCGGCACAACAAAATTATCAAAAGTCTCTGCTACGGTTCATCTTTGTGTTTGCGGCTTTCAAGTTACCCTTATCAAGGTATCTATCAACATGATGGATACTTACCTGGGCCATCGAGAAGCTGTTTTAGCTAGATCACCTGCAGATAGAGCTAGCTGGGCTAGTCGAGATGGGCATGATGATGTTTTCAGAAGTGAACGTCCAGAGAATCCACGATCCGACAGCTTTTATCGAGGTAGATCCCCAGGTAAGGTAACTCTCATTTTTTGATCAATTTGTCTATACTTCAGCCGTCTTGCAAAGGTTTTATCTACTAACAAACTACCAGGAGTAGATCGCCGTCGTATACGTGAGCGTTCCCGCTCGCCAAATTTAATCGACCGATATGAACCTTCTGGTCCTCGCTCTCGAAATGACTACGATAGGCAGAGGGTCCGAGATCGTGGGGAACCCCGACGAGTATCGCCTGCTCCTCCGAATATTGACAGATACGTACCTGGTCAAGACTCAGGCCCACCTCCAGTCGCATTGAATATGATACAAGATCCAACAAACCTCCCATTCCAAGTTGGATTTTCGTATTTCGGTGAATGGTGGCGTACAAATGAGAGGCTGAAAGAAGATAGAGAAGCTGCTCGAACTGGCAAGCGACGTGATAACAGAAGACCTGAACTTCCTGAAGACCGCGAAATAGAAAAATCTAAAATCCAAGCTGCATATGACGTTTACAAACAAGAACTGCAGGCTAAGATGGCTAGAACATTTGTACAGGAGCATAAAAATGAACAATGGTTTCAAGAGCGTTACTTCACAGAACTGCGTGATGATTTGCGGGTACAGCTAAATGAACTTCGGCGCGGGAATTATAGTCAATGGGAACAAGATCTCGAATCCGGCGTCTTTGATGAGTACACGCTGGAAGGAATACCCAAAAGTGAAAGCAATGGTGCTGGTGGCGTTATTGAGAAAGAAGAGGGCGAAACATCTGCGATCAATGAGGTTCTCGGAGTCGGTGATCTCGTTCCATCCAGAGGTAGTGACATTCGTGATGAAAACGCTTTCCAACCAACCCTCCTTATCAAAACTATTGCCCCTCATGTAAGCAGGCAAAATCTCGAACTGTTCTGTAAAGAACATCTCGGTGAGGATGAGGGAGGTTTCAAGTGGTTGAGTCTAAGTGACCCTAACCCAAGCAAACGATACCATCGTATAGGCTGGGTCATGCTTCATCCAGCCCCTGAGGGTCCATCTATTATTGACCGCCCTGACTTAAAGGATAGCGATATAGAGCCAATCGTCGCACCTGTCATCACTCCATCAACTGCTGAAAAGGCTCTTGAGGCAATAAACGGTAAAGTTGTCAAGGATGAAGTTCGTGGAGATTTCCAATGCCACGTTGGTGTTCACATTCCACCGGCTGCGCCGCGTAAGAAAGCATTGTGGGATTTATTTTCGGCGCCAGAAAGAATTGAAAAGGACCTTGATCTCGCCCAGAACCTAGTTCAAAAATTCGAGGAAGATTTTGGGTCAGATTTTAATGCCGTGTTAAAGATTGAAGAGCGAGTGGAAGACCTAAGGAACCAGATGCGTCTAGCCCCTCCTGTTACAGCACATAAAGTGGAAAGTTTTAAAAAATCACGGGACTATCTAGGGATGGATGAAGCTATGGATGAAGGAGAAGAACCTCAAGATGAAGAAGAAGATGAAGAAGAGGAAGGTGCTCTAGATGAGGAAGTTGATGACGAGGAGCTACTTGTCAAAAAGAAGCAACTTGATCTCATGGTGGAATATCTTCGTCGCGTTTTCAACTTTTGTTTTTTCTGTGTCTTTGAGAGTGACTCAATACATGAACTCACTCGAAAATGCCCTGGAGGCCACCTCCGCCGGCCACGGAATACACTTACAAGTGCTTGCAAAGCCGCAGCAAAAGCTAGCGCACTAGGAGAACCATTTCCCGGTATGAAAAAGCTTAACCCTGACTTGGACGACGAACCACAAACGCCTGAAGGTGATCGTAAATTCCAGCGTAATGTACCATCAAAAGCTGAACAACAGCTTCAGCGTGCGTTCAACTGGGTTAGGACATTTGAGGAAAAAATCGCACAGCTACTGAGCCCTGAGACCGTTGATATTCGGAAACTTGGCGGCAAACCAATTGATGACGCTCTCCGCGATGAACTCGTAAAGTTTGTGAAACAAGAGGATGAGCATAAATTTAGGTGCCGAGTTCCTGAGTGCCAAAAGCTATTCAAAGAGGAACACTTTTGGAAAAAGCACGTGGAGAAACGACATTCTGAATGGTTAGATAGCCTAAAGAGAGATGTAAGTTATACCAATTTATAGTTCGGATACCACTAACAGTCAAGTTTGAACTCATAAATACATATGTTCTAGATCCAGCCCATATTGCACCATCGAGATCCGATGCTAACAGTAATGGTCATTTTCCGCCCTCAAATGGTCACCTACCAGCTGGAACTCCACGGGGATTCAATTTACAAAGTTTTGGTATGGCCGGAATTCCTATGCAAGGATTTGGCCAGCCCAGCTTCCCACCTTTTTTTCCTGGAGCAGTTCAAAATGTTAGTGCCTACTCTGGCGCAGGTGGGCCCATTAGACGCGGTGGGAGACCCCAGAATCCACGGCCAGGGCCATATGATCGTCGACCCCGTGAAACAGGCCGCCTAAGTCCACCAGGTAGCTCGAGACGCGGGGGGAGATGGGGAGATGGAGCGTCTGGGAGTGCAGCCGTGGGACCTAGAGAAGCTGTTCAGGGTCGAATCTTAAAATCTTACGAGGACTTAGACGCTGTTGCAGGTGGAGGATCTGGAGAGCTCAATTATTAAATTATTAATTACTACTGTGCGAAGATTAAGTGTAGTTCGTTTATGTTGTAAGTATGTCTTCACTTGCTAGTGAAAACTCAGATGTCAGCTTTCAAAGGAGGAGAGCTCTACCTAGAATGTATAATAAGTCTATCAGATAATAGTTCAGCGTAGGCAACAAGCAATTTAGCCATAAAATATATATCTAAGCTGTCTTATCCTAGGTTTAAATATCTTTTTGTATGGATTTGGAGGAATGCTGGGCATGTATTAATGATTATGGAATCCATGGTCTTTCATAAGTAGCTTTTCGATTCCCCCCTTGGTGCAAAAAAACTGTAGCAACTTGTATCAATTCTTAAGCTACATTCATAGACAGTGATATTTCTTTTGTGTGAGGTATTGAACGGTGAGGACTAATATTATACCATGACTTTGAGTACAAAGATTTCAAGACTCGCATTGGTTGATTTTCAAATCTTGCAGTTAACTTTAGAACTAATGACTCTAGTCAAGATTACCATTCCGCTAACTCGGGTGGCTGCCCCGCAAATTCCGGGTCAAGCTCAGATTTAAACAGTGACAGAATCCAATCGGCGACGAGGCTGGAGAAGCTGACAATAAGTGAAGTAGGTCCGGCACAGAAGAGCAATGATGTCAGATTCGAGTCGGACTTGTTTACATGGACTCTGAGATTGGCAGTAACTTCATGTTCAGCATGATTTTCACGTTCGGTGAACTTGGAGCTCGTCAAGGTTGGAAGTGGCCTTGTCTCCGCCAGCCAAAGATCTCCAAGTGCCGGCCCAGACGAATTCTTCACCTTTCAGTGGTGCTGGTTAATCGCTCAGTATGCTCTGCATATCTAGGAGAGCCAAGAAGAATCGCATCTGAATCGAAGTCGAAAGCAAACTCAGACATATCTATAATCGCCGACTTCTCATCATTGTCGGTCTTGTCCATCCATCCTCACACTCCCCCTAAAAAATCGCATCAAGCACCTCTAACATTGCATACCCACAAATATCATCTTGAACTAGATTCCGATTAAATTCCAAATACCTAGCGGTGCAATGGCTTCTGCCAGCGCATCGTCCTCATCGATGGCTGCCAACCCCAGCGTAACAATTCACCCAACTCTGATGGGTATTGCCGAGGCAATGCAAAAAGCAGAGCAACAAAGGAAAGAAAGAATAGATGTTGCCCAAGAATTCTTAGAAATAATCGACGCCTGGGCTAAAACCAAGGCAGGAACAGCGTCGTCGGCCACAGTGACGCCTCTCATTGAAAGTATAGCTACAATAGTAACGTCATTTGCTATTGAAACAACACAGGCAAATGAAATCCCCCGTAAGACCCGCCAACCCTCGAAGAGCGCGATAACAATAGAGGCTCCCAGGGTGACCAAAATACTCGCGCCACTTGAGTCCGCGCTCCCAGCAAAGCTTCAAGCGGACAAGAACCCATGGGCAACAGTAGTTCGTAGAGCGGCAAAGCTCCCAGATCCTCCAGCAGCTCCGCTTCATCGAAAGACTGTCTTGCCGGCAAATACGACGACTCCAATGCCCCCAAAAGAAGATAAACGACTTTATCGACTGGGGCCAGACCACGAATGGCGGAGACTATCTCCTATCACCATAAAAAAGTTAATCACGGAGTGAGCTGGAGTAGCGGCATCCGTATTCGTGCAGATATATCAGGTCCGATCTGGCCTGACCTTTGAATGCGCTTCAGACGCGCTAAGAGAAACAGTTCTGGGTGTTGCCCCATCCTTCCAGCAACGGAATATCACCATCGAGCCAGTCTCAGACTGGGTCTCGGTCATTGTCCCACATGTCCCTCTTTACATCAGAACACTTGGAGGCAGCATTTCAGTTATAAGTCAAATAGTAAAAATAGAGTGTCAGTCTGTCTGTGGGGTCACACCAGTAATGGGTCGGCCAAATCAAGTAAGATTGGGTCAATACTCCACAAGCTGGATAGTGCACTTCATTAAAAAACCAGTGATCCTGAAATTCATACTCTTCGACGAGAGTGGGCCAACGATGCCGTTTTCACGCCGACGATCTATTGAACAATGTCAGCGATGTTTTGGTTTCCACACAACAAGAGCTTGCACCAAGGGACAAAGATGTGGGGTTGTACGGGAGTGCATGAGACATAGGAGTGCTCGGCAAAGGTACAAAAGTGCTCAAATTGTGCAGGACCTCACGAGTCGGCGGACCTCATCTGCATGGCCCGGCCGAGAAGACACAATAGAATAGTAGTTCCCCGCACACCAGCAGAGCTACACGTTATCCGAGAACGCGGTCACCGAGACTTTATAGCTGCGCTGGCGGCGTGGGAAAGGAAGGGTAAGGATAATGAGGTTATCAATACCCCGGAAGCAACGATGGTCGGTCAATGTGTAGGACGCCAAACTCTAGTCATTCAACCAGAAAATATAGCACCCTTCTATTTCACCAAGTGAACTTAGGAAAGGGCGGACCGAACATGGACACTGCATTACAACAGGCCTGGGATATAGGAGCGTATGTTGTCATGGTACAAGAACCGTGGACAATGCAGATAGACGGAGACTTCATCACAAAAAGTTATACTGGCTTTAAGGGTCACAAACCAGTTGGAGGAACGGGAAACCGTCCTCGAGCTATTACTTTCACCTGGAAAAGTATCAGTGCTACACAAATTCTTCCGGCGCATAGGCCCACCTTAGACTATTGCTTCGTAAAAGTAGATGGTCTGAATTTTGCAAATGTTTACCGTGCTCCTGGACCTAGCGGATCCTTTGAGCCCTTATTTCAGTGGAGACCTCTTGGTCATATAGTCGTCGGGGGGACTTCAACGTGGTGTCAAGACACTGGCAACCACAGGCTCCACGTCAGTATGGCAACGGTGATCAGATCATGGAATTGGCCTTGGCTCAGGACATGTATTTGGTCACCACAGCAGGGGTACCCATACATCAGGACAGGAATGAACTTGACTTGGTATGGAGTAATACGTCGGCCACGGCGATAGTTTCACGCGACTATAATTGTACCTCGGATCACAGCACCATTGTAGGATCTATGCAATGTAAAAGAATGTCTGATAACCGCAATCTTACTCAAGGACTAATTGTCAGCGACAAAAACCTCGATAAGTTTGCGCAATACGCCAAGGCGTGGATCAAACCGGGACCTATAAGTAGCGTGGCTGATATCGAACGCCAGACATCTAGCCTTTTGGAAGCAGTTGAGGACGCCCTCAAGGCAGTAGGACATAGACCCTCAATATCATGCGGGAATACAGCACTATGGTGGACGGAGGATTGCAAATTGAAATACTGTGAGTTTCAGGATTCCAGGAACTCTCCCAAAGGATCAACACAGGCACGTAAAAACTTCAGAGCGACAGTCAAGGCGGCTAAGAAAGAACACTTGAGGAAATAAGTCGAAAGTGCTACCTCATAGGCTCAGGTCTAACCACACACGTCCATCCCAAAGAAATGTCTCGACGCGCCAGACACGCGATTATCTACTGCTCAACCTTCTCTGATTTGCTCCTTGTCATGCCGCCCCAGTCCTCCAAAGAGGCTGGCTCTTGGCCCCCCCTCCCACCCGTAAATTCGACGCGTCCTGACGTCGAAATAGTCCTCACAGGGCCACCTAACCACTACTTCAAGAACACACAAGCAAGCGCAGAACCGATCTGCAAGGCGAGCTGCCAATACTCGCCCCCAAACCCCCCCGAGTCAATGGGTGCTTCCTTGACTAACTTTCTCGCAGATGAAGCGAGGGCGTTTAACATACGCTTTGCAGAGGCTGAGCGTATCGTCAATGGGTGCATTAACCTACTGGCGGCCACAACCTACAAACAGCTCCAACGAGCTGTCGAAAAGAATGGAGAGGCTTTACAGGCCATTATCACAAACATCCTGCGCGGAAACTCCGAGCCCCAATCCAGTGGGCCATCAGAGGCTGCCAGTAGCAGCAAGACGACAACCCTCCCTGCGTCGGCTACTAGGCTGGGAGGAAAGAATAGCGCGAGCACTTCACGACCAGTGCAAATACTCACGAGAGAAAGCAGCCAGGCGAAAGGCAAAGAGCTGGCTTCGACAAAGCCTACTAGGCCAATCGACATCGATTCTATACAAACCCCCATCGTTACTGAGGGGTCTTGGACTCATGTAGTGAGGAAAAAGACTAAGCCCGCACCACCAGCAGCGACAAAATCGTAACCAGCCAGCGAGCCCAAGTCAAAAGCAACAGGGCCCACACAAACTCCGAGGCCTACTGCCTCAGCTCCCAAGTTAGCTCGCCCAGACGAGCGTGTTTTCCTGCGGGTCAAGCCCGACCACCCATGGAGACGCATGTCTCCTCATTACATCAAAATGAGCCTCGCAAGCAAGCTGCGCCTAGCTAACTCTGCAATTAAGCAGGTTACCATCGTCAACTCAGGGTTTGCGATACTAGCTGAAGGAGATGGAGCAAGAAACGCGCTCCTCTCAGGCGCCGTACTCCTGGAGAGCACGGAAATGAAACTGGAAGCTGCTTCCAACTGGATCTCAGTGTTGGCGCCTAATGTACCAGACAGACTCTTCACTTTAGAAGGACCAACGCCAGTAACATCGGAGATGGTAATGGAGGAAGCGACCTTAAAGACAGGCGTTAGACCGACCTCGGCTCGTGCCTTTGCGACAAGCATGGCTAGGCCTTCCACCGACTGGGTGTTGCATTTTGCAACCGGTAAGCCAAAGCTGGGAGAAAGACTATTCGAAGAGAGCGGTCGCTTACACGAACTTCAGCGTAAAGCCAAAATTGCGCAATGCAACCGATGCTGGGGACACTACCCAACTAAGATCTGTTCACGAGCAGAGCGCTGCTCTCGCTGTGGATCGATTGAGCACAAGGCTACTGAGTGCAAACAGCTCGTCCCAAGGTGTATCAATTGCCATGGGCCACATGCTGCAACCGAGCCTAGCTGCATGGCCAGGCCGACGCGGGCCAGCGGAAAGACTATGCAACGCACAAGAGACCAGC